GTATAGCGTATAGCAGATGTATAGTTTTATTCATTTGACCTTTAAGGGGGGGCATAGGTTAACATGAGCTGTCCAATCGTGTCCAAGTGAATACTGTGTCTCTGAGGAAGACTTTGTCCCTTTTGTGTAAATACGTTTTGCTGCTTAGAACTACATAGACCATGAGCCTTTGCTCTGTTTCAATGCAGCCAACAGAAATATATTTTATTAGTGACCCTCAAAAACAGTTACTGGTAAATCACAGACAAGCAGATCCTGGATTAGTCCTGGTTTAGTTTTGTTTAATCTCGCATGAGATTGGCAGGTGGATCAGTGCAGCGTCTGCAGTGATGCGGTCGTTGTATCGGACCGCTGTGGTGAAGAGGGAGCTGAGTCGAAAGGTAAAGTTTTCAATTTACCGTCAGTCTACGTTCCTTCCCTCACCTATGGTCATGAGCTCTGGGTAATGACCGAAAGGACGAGATCGTGGATAGAAGTGGTCGAAATGAGTTTCCTCCGCAGGGTGGCTGGGCGCTCCCTTAGAGATAGGGTGAGGAGCTCAGTCACACGGGAGGATCTCGGAGTAGAGCCGCTGCTCCTCCACGTCAAGAGGAGCCAGTTGAGGTGGCTCGGGCATCTGTTCTGGAAGCCTCCTGGGCGCCTCCCTCGGGAGGTGTTCCGGGCATGTCCCACTGGGAGGAGGCCCCGGGGAAGACCCAGGACACGTCGGAGGGACTATGTCTCTGGGCTGGCCTGGGAACGCCCTGGGATCCCCCGTAGGAGTACTGGTCTAATCCCGGTTTAGTCCTGGTTCAGTCCTGGTTCTGTCCTAGTCTAGTCCTGGTTCAGCGCTGGTTTAGATGTGGTTCAGTCTTCTCTTAGTCCTTGTTCTGTTCTGCTTCAATCCTGGTTTAGTCCTGGTTCAGTCCTGGTCTAGTCCTGGTTTAGTCCTGGTTTAGTCCTCTCTTAGTCCTTGATAAGTTCTTGTGAAGTTCTTGAGTGTGATGTCTGATCCAATAGATAACTCTGTGATCAGCGCATTTATTAGCATTTCAATGAGGAACATCTCACACTGAGGACCACAACCGCTTCGTTTGGTCGTCATTTGTCTTTGTGACGGACTCATTAGTGAAGACATCTCCTGTTTGCGTGAGATAAGATACAGAAATGCACTTCATACATTTTAAACAGACATCTTTAACAGATTGAGACAGAAGAGGGAGGCGAGGGGCTGGAGTCAATATTTAATGCAAATGAGACAAGAGGACAGTGGAGACTTGAAAACCTTGAACAGTAAAGGGCACATATTATGCAATTTTTTAAATCTATGTTCTAATGTTGTTTCCTCATCAAGAACAGACCTGGAGTTGTGTTTTGTTTAATTCACACATTTATGTAACTCTTTATTATTAGTCTGTCTACATCTCCAAAGCTCCAAATGCTCTGTACCACCTTGTGATTTTCAAGTGCACAGCTCCTTTTATTTTTAGTTCATTAGAGATCGGCAATTCCAGGGCTGAAATTATCCAAATGATTCTAGTGAAGGTGTGTGGAGTTTAGAAACACAGTGGAGCACTTCCTGTATTACCACATGACATCACAAGGTGGATGAGAGTGTATTCTGTTTGAGCCTAAATATACAGGGTTTGTGTGTTAAACGTGTGAGCAGAGCAATGGAGCAACAACATCACAGAAAATGGGCAGAAATGTGATGTTTTTTATGATCTGACTAAGTGAGAAGCCACAGCGCACAACCACACAGCCAGGGTTTGAGCCACGGAACTTGTCATTCTGATCTGAAGAGCGAGAGGAAAGACACGACTCCCCGTCATATCCTGGACGCTCTTGGAGACAGAGCTAAAATAATCTTGACAGTTAGTCTGGTCCTGACCAGTTTTGTTCCCTGGTGTTTGTTACTGCAGCACCTCAGGTTGGTCACATTGGTGGAACTGAGGCTTTGATAAGTCTGGATTGGCAAAAAAAAAAAGGCCAGGCTTTCACTTTAGCTCGCTTTATGGAACACCCCCCAGGTCTGTTTGTGATGAAGAAACAACATTCTAACATAGATCAGAAAATAGAGTAATATTCTTTATTCCTTTAGCTTAATTCTTTAACGAGAATAAATTAAAATCACGTACAGGCCCTTTAAATGAATCTACAGGTCAGTGCTAATAGCTTTAATGAGACAATCGGAGTGCACATGATGCCTCACTTAAACAGTGACGGAGCCGGGGAATTGAACCTGTAACCTCTGCCTCCCATTAACATACTGTGGAGTGTTTGGTGAAAGGGCACTAGCCCAATAAAATCTCTACATTGGCCTAATAAGACTGGAGAGGAGGTTAATAGGCTCTGAGCTGAGAGAGTCAGACGTGTAGTACAAATATTGTAATCACAGTGAAGGGAGGGTTTAAACGAGAAGTCCAGACAGAAAGAAGAGCACAGGGTGTGGAAAATATCATTTAGATCCATATGATACAAACAGACACACTTTAAAGTCCCATATTGCACTATTTTCCAATCATCACAAACATCAAAAACACTCTGTTCCACCTTGTGATGTCATGTGGTAATACAGGAAGTGCTCCACTGTCTTTTTAAACTCATCATTTGAGTAATTTCAGATCTGGAATTGCCAAACTCTACTGAACTAAAGGTAAAAGGAACTGTTAAGTAGAAAACTACCACTACATGACATCACAAGTTGGAACAGAGCGTGTTGAGCTTTGGAGATGTAGATGGACTAATAATAAACTCAATTCAAACTCAGTGTTACTCCAACATGTGTGAATGAAACAAAACACAACTCCAGGTCTGATTTTGAGGAGGTAAAAACATAACAACATGTCTTAAAGCTGACAAGGGTCAATATTGTGTAATATAACACCTTTAACTGTCCCCATGGGAAATTTCACTGTTGCTGTCACAAAAATAAACAGGAATACAGGGCTTCAACTAATCAATATTTATTAGCCAAGAATTTTTTTTTAATTTATTAGTGGGTGGTATCTGTGAATCATGAAGATATAATTTGGACATTTGAAATCACAATATTCATCTAAAATGACTTAACAAAAGAAACAAGTCCTCTGATTTCTGCATTAGAAAACTGTGGTGTCCAATGGGAGCTGACTCCGCCGTAAACATCGTGACAACAAAGTGCTGCATGCTGTGGGCCCCTCCTGTGGATAACTGCACATCACACTAGAGCAGAGCATTTTTTTTTTTTTTTTACATTTGGATCAAAATGACTATGTGATGCTGCCCAACATGTATCACTGATTAAGAAAATAAAACTGAAGAAGTAAGAGATTGGGGTAGATTTGCAAAATGGCGTCTTGAACTTCAGAGAAATGAACTGGTGAGTGTGTTTATATGAACATCAGTATCCTGGTTATTAGGCATTTCCCGGTTATGACAGTATTCGGAACATGCAGTTTACATCCGCACTAAAAACCGGGATACTCATATCCATGTGTACAAACGTAGTATCCCTGTTTCTTGACATAATTACAATTAAAATGTGCAAGCACAAAAATTTTACATTTAATAAACCAGGAAATATACAAACAACCATGAGCTCCTTTAGCGTAAGACGCTTGGGAGGTTCCTGACCTGTGATAAGGAGCTATGAGGCTGCATCAGATCATTAATACAAACCTTCTGCATAAATTGTTAGCAGCGTTGTCATGACCATTAAAACACAGTTCACGTTGTATTCTCTTTTTGTGTGGTTACCCTGTTCCCCACGGGCACACGCTTCACTTTATTCACAAGTGCAGGCCATTCAGAATTTTGTGCCTCACGTGATCAAGACTTTTCACACGCCATTGGGCAAAACATAAGTCTCTACTATAATACATACAAATAATAAAATGAGAGCACAACACAACACAATACAAATCTTCTGCATAAATAAACTGAACTTTACAACATAAATCATAACCACTATGGAGCCACATCAGCCCGTTTGACATTATAATGTGTTTAATGTAGCTTTGGCACATTTGTTTATGTTTTACAGAAACAAAACTTAAAGCCACATGGTTCATTTGCATAAACTATAAGTGCTGAAAAACACAGCTCGCTCCTTGTGCCCTGATGCGGTTCAGTTTCTGTCAGACTAAAGGACACGACTCAGTGGAATATGAGTGTTCTCTCTGTGACAGAAGGATGTGCTGCTGATGGTGAGTCTGTTCTGTGCGTGTATTGCATTGGAGATGGTTTATGTTCAACTTTTCAGAGATCGTACGTGTGCAGATCATACGTGTGCAGATTCAGCGCAGCTCTTTATTTAACATCAGTCATTTCATTCATGTACCGTCACTTTATTTACATCAGCTCCGTTGTGATGAACAGACTGAAAGGTGTAAATAATTCTCATAAGACTCCGCACTGCAGTGGAGGGTGGTGCACTTTCTGGGGGTTGTAGTTTTTACTGAACAGCTGTTGTTCCCACCGCTGGTTAGGAGGAACAGGATCCACCTAAAGCAGTGAGAGCGTCTTCTCCTTGCTGCTTCTTCCTCCTTCTTGGTCCTCAACCTCATGACGCTGTGTGTTTGTCTTTTGGACACATGAGCACTCAACTTCATGCTGCCGTATTCGAGATACTGTGTATACATGCCACAGTATCCTGGTTACTATTGGAATATCCCAGCTACAGTATCCAGGTTTCTTATAACCGGGATGCTGCCTTATTCGGAATACTGAGAGCAGGATTCTGTGTATACATGTACCATGACGAAACTGAGATATTCAAAAAACCTGATCATAACTGGGACACTGCTGTGCAGGTAAACGCACTCAGTGATGGAGAAAGGGGTGATGATTTTTCAGTAAAAAGTGAGTCAATGGAGCTAAACTGCGCCCATGCTCACTTCCTGTTTCCTGTGTCCACTTATATATACTGTCTTCAGTTCAATGTAATAAAAAAAAAAAAAATAGGATAAGTCTACCAACTTCTCTCACTGAATATAGCCTCCATATTCCTCAACACTCTCTCTTTGTCTCTCTTCTTCCAGGAAACGCCTTCGTAGTGAGCCTCGCCCTGGCCGACCTGGTGGTGGCGCTATACCCTTACCCGCTGGTCCTGTCGGCCATCTTTAACGACGGCTGGATCGCGGGCTACCTCCACTGTCAGATCAGCGGCTTCCTCATGGGACTCAGCGTGATCGGCTCCATTTTCAACATCACCGGAATCGCCATCAACCGCTACTGCTACATCTGCCACAGCCTGAAATACGACAAACTCTTCTCCAATGCCAATACCATGTGCTACGTCGTGCTCGTTTGGGTGCTAACCATCCTCGCTATCGTGCCAAATTGGTTCGTAGAGTCTTTGCAGTACGATCCAAGAGTGTATTCCTGTACTTTTGCCCAGTCCGTCAGCTCCCTCTACACCATAACCGTCGTAGTTGTCCATTTTATTTTACCCATCGGAATAGTCACGTATTGCTATCTACGGATTTGGATTTTGGTTATTCAAGTTCGTCGTAGAGTGAAGCCGGACACGAGGGCGAAAATCAAACCGCACGATATCCGAAATTTCCTGACGATGTTTGTGGTCTTTGTGCTCTTCGCCGTTTGCTGGGCACCGCTGAACTTCATCGGGCTGGCCGTGGCGCTGGACTCGCGTTTGGGGACCGCCATACCAGAGTGGCTGTTCACGGCGAGCTACTTCATGGCGTATTTTAACAGCTGTTTGAACGCAGTGGTGTACGGCGTTTTGAATCATAATTTCAGGAAGGAGTACAAAAGGATCGTGCTCATAATATTTAGGTTTCACTGCTGAGGAAAGACTGGACAAAACGGAAATGTGTAGGTCTAAATTTCTGCAAAATATTGTTCATTTTCGGTATATTTAAGTCCCTCTCTCCAATAGAGGCTTTGCACGGTCACGTGTCCCCATGGCAACGGTACCTACACCGCCATGACACCGGGCACACTATGTCATTGTCTTCAGTAGCATCGGAGGAACATGGGCAGGTTTTGTTGTGTATTTGGTTGTTCTAGACGCTCTGAAAGGGATAAAACGATTTGTTTCTTCACTGTTCCTTTAGAAATTACTCATGAGGAGCTCAAACAAGGGAATTATTGAAAAAAAGACAGGAATTATGGCTAGAGAACATTGGAGATTTCCAATGGTACCATCAAGACCCCCGAAGTTTCATCAAGGTATTTGCTATTTAAATTGTTTCATAGCTTATTTAATGAAAGAAGCACATTTACTGAACTAAAATTTCATTAATTTATCCAGGAAAACCCGCACTAGTTTACGATTCAACAAACCCACACTGGGCTCCTATGATCAACATGGAGCACGAGTCGAAGAGTCTGTGAGCCAAACCTCGAAAGAATCGACCATGAAAAGATCCTCACGAACGTTAGAAAGATCCGCTCGCTAAAAGCGATTAATTCTAGAAGACATAGTTGTGGATAAGCAAGACAATAAAGAAAACATGGGTCCTACGACGAGTGACATGTTTATATGTGCACTGGAAGATACAGTTTCTACTGCCACTCACACTGCAAATGTTTTCTTTTTACATTTTAGTTCAGTAAATGTGCTTCTCTCATTAAATAAGCTATGAAACAATTTAAATAGCAAATACCTTGATGAAAGTGACGTGAGTGTGTCTTGATGGTACCATTGGAAATCTCTTCGTGGTTTATGTTCTCTAGCCATAATTCCCGTCTTTTTTCGATAATTCCCTTGTTTGAGCTCCTGATGAGTCATTTCCAGAGGAACAGTGAAGAAACGAATCATTTTATCCCTTTCAGAGCGTCTAGAACAACCAAATACACAACAAAACCGATGCTAGTGAAGTCAATGACATAGTGTGCCCGGTGTCATGGCAGGGTAGGTACTGTTGCCATGGGGACACGTGATGGTGCAAAGCCTCTATTGGGACAAAAGTTCGTACTCCTGTATCAGTCTTAAAGTATTTTTATAGTAAAGGCTCCAGAACGCACTGTATTTATCCAACCACACGTCAAAATGAGCAGATAATTAGTTGAAATCTAAATTAAACACCTAAAATAATAATAATAATAAAAAGTTGCACTATATAACTTTTCTTGTGGAGAGTTGGCCGCCTTTCTATGAAGATGTTATTGCTAGAATGTTCCAGGATATGGCATTAGACAAACAGCCAACAGGCCAAATTATAGGTAAGATCTGTGAAGAGGCAAGCACTCACAGTAAGAATGCAATGCACGTTTTGCAAGGTATTTGTTTTTAGCATGAAGAACAGCTGATGCTTATTAAATGGAAAAAGTTTAATGCCTTACTGTGGAACATTACAGGCAAAATGTAAAGTTACACAGTGTAAACTGGGAAAAAAAATAAGGTAAAATGGTCTGTGTGCCATTCGTTTTTTGAATTTCATTTAAGAACAAAAAACTAAAATGGGAAAACGGTTTGTTATTTAATTTTTCCATTTTAGTGTCAAATGAAAAAATTGATTTCAACATCTATAATATTTTATTTAAAGTTTATTACAAATAACACCAATCAGTTTTTAAAGAAAAACTCCCGCACACTGTCTCACTCTTGGTTTTTCTTTTATCGGTATGATGTTTCGCTCCCTCAGACATTCCTCCCACAAATAACACCAATCAAAAAACTGTTATTGTGCCTATTTCTATTTTGATATTTAATTGTCTGTGGTTTATTTGCTTTCTAAGATGCAAAAGTAAACACGTTGCTATAAAAGAAGTTCACAAATTCACTATGTTTTTTCAGGTAAGTCCTTGTAGCAGGTAGCAGAATGTCTCGGGCAAAAAAAAAAAAAAAAAAACTGAGAAAATAATGGCACAATAACAGATTTTTGACTGGTGATATTTTAAATAAACTTTAAATTAAATATTGGACATAGAGGTTGAAATCAGTTTTTTGTTTGACACTAAAACGTAAGAACAAAATAACAATCTATTTTCCCATTTTATTGTTTTTCGTTCGTAATTGAAATTCAAAAGAACCAATAGTACATGGACCGAAAATGGGCCAAAATTTTAACTATTTTGTCTTCAAATTTAAATCAATGTTTTGCAGAATTGTCTCAAAGAAATAATATATTTTGGTTTTACCAGAGTATTTTAACAGAAGTGCACGTAGCATGGACGCAAAACACTGTGATGAAGAACTATGCTTAGTAAAGACTTTATTTTGAAAGGACAATCTCACTTCCTCTTTGGAGAAATGAAGACTTTTTAATTACTGGACCTCATTTGAAAAAAACTCTAATGAACATTGTATTGTGGACTTCCCAGACCGACCTCTAGGGGGCGCTGCTGAAGTTATGGTTTTTATGGGGACGTTAAAATACAAAAAATAAAGTTCTGACCACAACACTGTGTCACCAACAGAGAATCTGAATGAGAACAGGGGACTGAGGTCATGTGATCACAACATTGTAGAGTTCCAAGAGTTGAACCTGAGCTGGAGACAGGTCAGAGTCTCTGGTGGAGTTTGCTGTAAGTGTCAGATGCAGATTAGTTGACCTGGTTTATGGTTCATATTTCTGTAATTACCGGGGTTATCCACATGAAACAAACACTGGGACAAAGTTCAACGTCTTCTCTGTCAACACAAAACAACCAAGGTTAGATTTTTATAACCCAGAACTCACAAAAAGTAAAAAATAATAGTTGACGACACAAGCTTGAGTATGTGGACAGAACTTCTTACATAAAATTATTTAACAGTGCATTTTCTTTTTAGATATATTGTCCAAAAATGTGAACCCTGTCCAGGAAAATTATTACAGAGATATTAACCATAAACCAGCATTTTGTAAAAAAACTACCATTGTTTAAGCGGTGTTTACATACAATTTAGAACATAGAACAGAAATTTCCAAACGTCTGATCCAAAAATGTTGAAACGTTATTATTTGTTTGGGATCAGCTCAACAAACTTGTCATATTAATCTCATGGCTTAAAGGTTGTATGGAGGATTTTTTTTGTTTCAAATTGTCATTTAAAATACCATTACAGAGAAGCAGCAGCCTTGTAATTATGATGACCAAATAAAAAGAATGAAAATCTATCAACTGTGGATGTAGTGAGGCCAGATAAACATCAACCAATAGACAACGAGGCTCCCTCTTTATCTATTGGCTGTTAGGTTGTCAATAAAACTTCCTATGTTTCTAGTGTAACTGATTCGCCGGTGTGCGAAGATTACGTGGTTTATGCAGCGCTTCTTAGAGGTTTTTTCAAACTGTAGCTTCCTCGCAATTTGCACAATGTTTGTTGCGATTGCGGACGAGAATTTACGACCAGTTCGCCGCAAAACAAAGTCTGTTTTTGAGGTCGCTGAAAGAAGAAGAGAAGGGGAAAAGGAACGAAGACAAACTGAGGTGATTCTTGGAGATTCCTTCCAACGATGGCGCGACTGAAGCAGACAAAGGGTCCAAAAACTGATGTGTCGGTCGCTAAATTATTTCTCGACAGGTCTGTAAACAAGCGTGATTTCTAGAGTAAGGAGGCAGGAGGAGGTGTTTCTACTGAGGGAGCTGCGGAGGAGGAAGGTGGTGTTACTCATGCACAACATTTGAAAAAGGACTGTCGCTGAATTTCACTTCCCTTAAAAAAATCCTCTATACAACCTTTAAAGTCTTTTCAACTGACAACACTCACATCTTGATTTATACAGACAGAGAAAACGCCAAACTTTGATCCAGTTTTTGTTTCATGTGGCTAGGCCGAGTAATTAGAGACTTGAACCGTAAACCAGGTCAACAAATCTGCGTCTGACAGTTAAACAACAAATTCCACCGTAGAGTTCTGACCTGTTTCAAACAATAGCCTTTTTCTGTTGTCCTGGAGTCAAATGACCTCCTCCTGTCGGGTTTGACGTCTTGTTTTTGACCTTCTGTATTTGTCTGTGTTCAGTCTGTGTGTTTGTCCCGACCTCCTGAAACAAACTTTAAAGCTACCATCTGTAAATAGACCGGCTGACCCGCCTTCTGTTGCCTTCTCGCACGTCACCACTAGAGGCTGTCTACGTTACCGCTGTGGGATAGGGTACCGGCTTTGGTCTGATGGAAGAAGATCAGAGAAGACAGGTGAGACTGAAGAAAGGACAGGTGAGAGGGGAAGGGGGAGGGGCCAAGTGAGAAGAGGAGGGAGGGGTCAGGTGAGGGGGAGGATGTAAGGGGAGGGTGGATAAGACAGGTGATAGGGAGGGGACAGGTGAGGTATGGGGCAGGTAAGAGTAGAGGCAAATTGAGGGGAAGGGGGAAGAGACAGGTGAGAGGGAGGGGACAGGTGAAGAGATTGGACAGGTGAGGGGAGGGGAAAGAGAAAGAGACAGGTGAGGGGAAGGAGGATCGGACAGGTGAGAGGGAGGGGACAGGTAAGAGGGATGATTGGACAGGTGAGAGGAGGGGACAGGTGAGTGAGAGGGACCAGGTGAGAGGGAGGATCAGACAGGTGAGAGAAGGGGGAGGGGCCAGGTGAAAAGAGCTAACAGGTGAGCGGAGGGGAAGGGGGAAAAGACGGGTAAGGGGAGGGAGGAACGGACAGGTGAGGGGAGGGGACAGGTGAAAGGAGGGGACAGGTGAGGAGAAAGGCTAAGAGACAGGTGAGCGGAGGATGGATTGACAGGTGAAAGGGGGGGACAGGTGAGGAGAGGGGGCAGGTGAGAGGAGGGGTGAGGGGAGGGGACAGGTAAGAGGGAGGGGACAGGTGAGAGTAGGGGCAAGGTGAGAGGAAGAGACAGGTGTGGGGAGGAGGAAAGAGACAGGTGAGCGGAAGGGAGAATCAGACAGGTGAGAGGGAGGGGA